TAGAAGAAGCTTTGTTTTTCACTTTTTTAAAAATAATTTTTACTTTTGTAACTGGCTGTTTGCTTTGGAAGAATAATGCATAGAAACCTGATTTAGATATGTTTCACATATATATCACATTCTATGAATTTCTGGTTTGCTAAATAGAAAGTGGCTAATCCGGTAAACTGTACAAAACTCATGAATAATTGAAAAAAGGTCATTACCACAATATTACTAAATAAGGCATTAAGCATACAAATGAAAATTATATATATGTTTTTATAAAAGACAAATATATATATTTATGTATATTTTTAATTTCATATTTTAGTGACAATAACAAAATGAATGAATCACATATAATATTACTCTTCTGAATTACCGTTACCTTGATATGCTCAATTTTTGTCATATATTAATCAAATATTAAATTTACATTACGTAAAACAAAGAAAAATACAACAGTAATAATTGTCAATATCAGACTTTTCTTTAAAATTATCTTTTACATCATTTATGACCTCATCTAATGAATTTTTAATATATCAAGTGATATACAAAATTTTAAGGTTCTCTAATATTTTCAATAAAATCTACTTAATTTGCACTCTTTTGAAGTAGTCCCCTTATGAATGTATACAGTAATTCAAGTATTTTTCCAAGACTATACATTACTGGAAATCTTCAAGTGTGCCTGTAACTTTGTCCAGATCTCAATTTTGTAAAAAAAAAAAAAAAAGATGCTCTTTTAGCCAAAATTTCAGTTTAATTTTTTAAAATTAGTAAAAATTGAGAGATCAAGTAAAAAGGATGAGAGAATGAGGAATGACTCAAGCTTCTGGAAACCAAGAACTGTCAAAAAATACTGATGTGTGGGAAAATGGGTTTTCATGGTGAAGAATGCAGTTATTCAATTTGTTTGGATATTTGCAACAAATACTCTCTTTTAGTCTCTTTAAAAACTCACAGTAAAAATTATAATTTGATCAGAAGGAATGAATTCCTTGCAGATAATGCATTAAAAATATAGAAAGAAAATAAACACTGATATTTGATACTGCTGTCAACTTAACATTTCTTTTTGGTTGCAGTGATTTTGATGATTACCACTATGATGATTGCTGCTTTTGTAAAGATACACCCTGGGGTCTCCATCAGGTTTATACCAACTGGATAAACCAGCTTACATTATCTTTCAATTTTTGTTTGCATCATAGTGGATAGTGTGCCCCAAAACTGGGAAAAGGTCAGTAGACATTCACAAGAGAACAAAAGATGAAATAACATCATAGTGAGAAAACAAAATCTTTTTTTCTAATTCTTTGTTCAGTGATTCAGTCTGGTGACACTTAGGACATCTTCAATGCTACTTCTGTCTTCTTTTATGACAGATTAATGGACCAGATCTTCCTTTCACCTAGTGAGAATTCCATCACTCTCTAACTCTACATCTCTTTAGCTCTAACAGTCTTGCTTGTCACCTACTAACAAATGGCTTATAACTGACTGCTCTCTTGCCACCCTATATAGGTGGCTCACAACTGATCATTATAACAAACTCTGCCTATATAAAACTATGACCTGAACTTCCTATCTTCTTGTAAGGGGTACATGATCCTGAAAATTTTCATTTATTTATTTACTTCCTATCTACTACTTAGAACAGCTTTGAAGAACTTAGGTTTCAGTTTTACTGCAGGTCATAAAGCACCAAACTCTTCAGATACAGATAAAATCATTTATCATCTGCTTTACTATGTGGGTTTCCTGTTCACAACTGGGTACCATTGTGTCACATTTCATCTCAGGGTTAGAATCTATATCATTATCTATGATATCTGTATGTATAGTCTAACATACTTCTGTAATGTTTCTGCTGTCATGCCTGTGAACAGTTGCCTAAAATGTCCATTTCTATCAACAGATATTTGTCTCCACTGAAGCATTTGTGCTCTAAAACTGGTTCATGGTACTATTATCAAAATTCTTCTTTAAGCCTTTGTTCAGTTAAAGCAAGTTTTTGTATTAATTAAAAAACAATTTGATGTTGATTATCTCTTCTTTAAAATCTACTATGAAGATGAAAATTGCTGAAACACTAAAATGAAACCTTGCAAAAAATAGTCAAAACCATAAAACTTTCTGAGCTTGCCTATTTTTTTACACACTAGCTCACAAAGTGTAGTGAAAAATGTTCATATTAAATTCAGTTTCTCTGCACTGTTAGAAATCTTTGACTATCACCTTGTAACTTTAAGAAAACAGATGAGTTTGGCAAATGGGAAGAAATAAGAACAGTAAAACATGTACTGCATAAATCTTCCAAGTAAGGAAAAAAAGTCAACCTGCTTTGAAAATGAGTATGCAATATCTTGGTTTTTTACCTGAATTCAAACACTGATGATGAGAAAATATATGACTTCCTCACTAGTCAAGAACTCTCAAATTCTCCCTAGACTACTGGAAGTAAGGGAACTTTAATATAGAGTAGCTACATATGTATTATTTTAGCACAATCCCTTGCTTTTGTATGCAACAGTTAATCAACTGAAATGTTTAATGCTTCTAAAGGAAAAAAGAAAACAATGCAAAGTAACAAAGAAAAAACTTGACTGTTAAAAGCTTCTAAGAATCTATAACAAAATTCTCTTTCTTGTATATGGTCAAAGAGAGAAGTGTACCTATTGAATATCTACAAGACGTTTTCAGTGTTTTACAATATAAGAGGTAGTATTAGAAAGTTCCCAGACTAGGATCTCCTGGCAAATCCCAGAACTAATTCCATTCATGTGAGAAACCTGATGAATTATTCAGTGATAGCTATCATAGATAAGTTCATACATTATTTTTTTCCACATTTTCTGGTATTTTGTTGATGACTGGTTGCCCTGAATACTTGTCAACTTTCAACCAACATGCAACTGGCATTGAAATGCATGTGCAGTTTAAAAACCTGAGATTGACCAAAAGAATGTTTACCAAAGGCATTTTTAGTCTCAGTTGCAGATTTGCAAAGCATCATGCAAAATTTGATTTAGGCATATTACTTGAATTTGTCAATTATCATAACACAAGTATGTTGACTAACGATTATTGGTAGACTGTTTCAGTAGGTTAGTTATGAAAAGTGTTAGTTGTGTGTGCATTTCCATTGAACAATCATAATACATATATTCCAGATACTTTCCAATACCACCTCCTTCAAAAGATTTTATTAAAAATTTAAATCATTTACCAGAGTGGTAAATTTTAAGAGCATTAAAATAATCTGGAAATTGACCAAAATAAATTGAAGTGCAAAAAAATTAGAGACAAAAATACATGGAATACTTTTGCCTCTCCCACTTGTAGAAATGTATTCAACTAGATATGTGATGTAATAAGTAAAAAGGTAGCATAGCTGCAGCAGCCATGGAACACAAATAGGATGTAACACCATTTGACCATGGAATGGTAATTAGAACAAGAAAGATAGAGGGGGAACTATCTCCAAGGTGACAAAAGCTATAAACTTTTCTTATCAAACTGTAGCAAGTGTATACCAAGAATATGCGAATTCTGGACATACTTGATACTATAACCAGCTTAGGAGGCTGGATGAGGCTATGGATCCAGACTGTCATCAGAGTGCTGTACATATTGGTAGTAGATCAGTAATGGTGGGAGTGAGTGTTCAATTGTAATTCGTAATGACCACAAGTAAAACTGGAGTGTGTCAATACACTCCAGTTTCACATGGGATATACACAGATTTTACTCTAGACTATTTGCACCTCTTTATGCTTGCTATGTTTTCTGGTAGTGATAGTTTTTTCCAGTAAGTTAATGCAAACTACTATAAAACTGATGCCAGGAACATTCCAACTGACATGCAGGTACTCCAGGGTCCTCCATTTACTTACTAGATTTAAACCCCATTGAACATGTATGAAGCAAACCTTGAATCACACCCAATAATCACAACTCAGTTATGGACAGCCTTGGAACATTCCTGGATAGGTATATGCTCATACAACTTATAAAGTTCATACACATAATATAGTCAGCATTATTCATGTGAAGGGAGAAATTACAACAGTTTATCACAAAAGATTCAGAAGATCTGTAATCCATACAACATCAGGACAATATTCAGAAGCAGCTTGACCCTACAGAAAAATCTCTGCCAAGTTAAGCATAGCAAAGAATAGAATATGACCAAGAAATGTGTTTATTTCATTCCTTGCAGTTATGACAAAGAATATAAAGGTGACATCAGCTATTCATTAAAAGTAAAGCTAGAGAAACATTGAAAAACAATTAGGGGCAAGACAATAAAATCAGGGATGGCTGATCATGTATGGAGAATGAGGGTAGACACCAACCTGTGGAATAATGTAAAAATACTAGACAGAGAAGAATACTGGATGGTCAAATGTCTGAAAGAATCAGAACATATGCTAGGCTATGAGGATCTCCATAGGAGACTTAGTATAGAAATAAATATAATTGTCATTAATAAATAAAAAGAAATGACAGCAAAGCTTCAACAGCAGCAATAAGAAAAGAAAAGCCTCAGTGAATGCAGTCAAGTATGACAAGCAGCAGGTTGATTAGGTTTAAGGTTCTAAATATTACACCCAGGATTGTTCCATGGGACAATAGCCTAGTGGATTAAAGTGTTGGTTTGTGAATTTGGTGAGAGTAATTGTGAATTCCATCATTGAGCCAAGTCATGGAAATAGAGTGAGCAATAACTGAATAGTACTAAATAAGAACTAGATAAGATATCCCAAGACATGATAGTAGAACAATCTTCACTTGGAGATTAGATGAAGGGTTCAGTTGGAAATTCCCTGGAGTGATAAGCACCTGATGAAGATCACAGGACACAATGGTTAAAAAATAAAAACAATAGTCTGATTGTAAGTAATGATAATTCCTCATTCCTAGAAATTCAGACAGAGAAGCTACATGCCTCTAATTTTTTAGACAGTTTAAAAGAGACTAGTTGAATGAATGTAAAATTAACAACTTAC